CTGCCTGCCCAACCAGAGTGATTAGGGTACAAGGGCCTTAGTCAGGGGAGTGATCAAAACCCAACAGTTACTCTGACAGAGCTTCAGCATTGCTCTGTGGAGAGATGAGGACGTTCTAGAAGGACAACCATTTCTGAAGCAATCCACCAATCAAGCCTGTATGGTAACATGACCAGACAGGAGCCATTCCTCTAACTTTTCTCATCACTGCATATTACCTGACCGATACCATCCCTACAGTGAAGCATGCTGGTGGTAGCTTCTTGCTGTTGGCCATATGAAGACCATATAAAGACTCTCTAAGACCACTCCTTTGTTAAATCCTGGAGTGTCCCAGCCAGAGACCAGATTAGAACCGGATTGAACATGTCTAGAGAGATTTAAAAATGGCTGTGCATTGATGCTTCCCATGCATCCTAATGGAGGTTGAAAGGTTCTGCAAAGAAGAATGAGAAAAATGAAAACAACCCCAAAATGTCAGTATGGGATATTTTGTGTCGAATTCTGAGATGAAAAGGCTGCAACATGGCAAACTGTAGAACAAGTATAACACTGTGAATACTTTCTGGATTTACAGTTTTCTCTGTAAAACTCTATTGTCTTGCTTCTTTAAATTCTGCAGGGCCAGATGGCACAATTATAAGTTATTGATTACCTACAGTATCTATGTAGAGGTGTCAGGTGATGACCTTTCTTTGACCAGTGGTCCATGCACTTTTGACACAGTCTGTTTCACACATTATTCAGGTGCTTTCTCTTCCTGACCTCGTGCCTGGTCAGAGTGCTGTGGTGAACTTTGAGATCCAAAACCACGGTGCAGCACGGAACTTCAGTTTGACAGCCGATGATGACTGTGGATATCTTCATATGACAGGGCCCCACAGGTAGATCAAAATGAAAATACATCTTGCACAGGTGCAAAGCAAACTTCAAAGAACTTGCCATCCCGCTTCTTTTGTCACCTTCGCTGGCATTCTCTCACCTTTGAAAACTATTTAAACTTAGTAACACAAAATTATTTTTAAATTATACAGTTATGTACAAAAGTCTTGAGTCACCCCTCAATTCAGCTCTTCATGTCAGATTGGCTTTCTAATTTTCTTTTTTTCTAGTGGATATATTAAGGGTGTGCACCTATTGCAGTGTGCACTTGTGCTTTAGATGGGGAAAAGAACCAATGTTAAATTTTAACTTTATGCACTTTGTTATTAAAACACATCATTTGTTCCCATTTCTTTTTGATGAAAATTTCAAATATAACACTGTGAAACAGTAACAAAAATGTACCAACAAGATTATTCAAAAGAACTATTAGCTGAGTAGTGTGTCATTAAAAAGTGTGAGGAAATTAGACCAGTTGAGGACAAAAGAAGAAGTGGCATGCCCACTTAACTATCCATAGCAGATAAAGATGTGTAGCTTAGATATGCCAAATTATGGACTGATAATCTGGGGTAACAGGTCTTATGGAATGACAACAGTCAGTATCTACAGTCATGGTTTGGCCTGCATTTTACCCATTGGTGTTGGGAATCTTGTTAAAATTGATGCAATTAAGAACACAGAAACGTATGATTCCATTTTGGGCCTGATTGGCAGTGGCTTAATTTTTCATGACAATGATCCCAAACACACTACCAGTGCATTAAAAGCATACCTGGATAATAAAAAAAAAACACAAAGTAGAACACTATTATTCATGGATTGGCCTCCCCAGAGCCTGGACCTCAACATTATTGAAGCAGTGTGGGATCATCTTGACAGAGGGTGGAACAAAAGGCAGCCGGCATTCAAAGAGGACCTTTGAATGTCTTTTAAGAAGCCTGGAGACCTATTCCTGAAGACTACTAAAAAAAAAGGAGATAAAACCTTGCATCTATTTTGCATTTTAAAAAAAATATAAATTAAAAGATGGCTGGTTCAAAACTCTGGCACAGTATTGTAAGTATAAGTTAAATGATTTCACAATTCATGTTTTTGCCCTTCAGCTTTCTTGTAGCAGAACAAAGGTCTTTTCGTGACCAGGTGTACCTGCAGACTCCAGCCACAGCGCAGGCAGGGGTGACAGTCACCCTTACGCTGACTGTAAATGATCTTCATTCTGCTGACTCAAATTATGCAGTAGCCTACTTGACTGTGGTCCCTCAGGTGAGCAATAAGAGAAACTGCAGGATATTCTGCCGAAAACTTGCTTTTTGGTTTATTGTGTATATGATGATTTTTTCTTGCCTACAGGATTCAGACACGTCCCCACCATCCTGCTCTGCAGCACGAGTCCAATCTAACTGTTCTGCAATTTGCAACGCGACTAGCTGGAGTGTGTCTCTGTCTGTATCAGATATCGGACACTCTGGCCTTGATGCTCTGCAGCTACAGGAAGGTGA